TTCATTGAACAAAGGTCTAACTCCAAGAGGCATTTTTTTCAATGTCGTGTTTTTGCGGTGAAAATGTTCAAAATCTAAAATTGTTTTGGCGTTCATCTCAAAATTAATTTGTTCTAGCTTTATTTTGTAGTTTACACAGTTAACGATCTTTTTAAATGTATATCTGGCGGTTGAGAAAATAATAATAGTTAAATATTGTCAATTTAGATGCAATTATCATTGATATTGTAAAATTGACGCCATATTTATACAGCAATATAAGCGAAACTTACTGAATTTCAGACATCTCTTTGGCGTACCGTCTAAAATCTCTTCATTTTAGCATTATTTTACAGATAAAGCACTAAACATACTTTTTAAGTTTGTTTGCCACTCGAGAACGTTTGAATATAGATTTGAATATAGTCATAATCAAGTGGAAAAGTATATTCATTAGTTTTGAGCGCGTGTTACGTAACAAACAAAAGATTTTCCTCTAAATCATTCATGAATCAAGTACATCACTTACCCAAGCAGAATATTGAAGAAGGTCGAAGAGATTGACGAGACAGTAGACAAAACTTGGAGACAATATGAAGTTAAACAACGCCAACATCTTCTCTGGATGACCAAGCACATGATCTGAACACAAAACCAGACTGTACTGTTTATTGCAATCTTGCCACAATTACTTAATTTTCATGTAAATATTCCCCCGTGTTTCGTTCACGGATAGGTTTGTGATGGGACTCAACTCTTGCCGGATTCCGCAAAAGTAATATTCTCCTTTCTGGTTCAAGGAGACTGGTCTCTTGCTCGGGACTGCCCATGTCACAGAAATTAAAATAATGTAAAGTTCCCTGACCAAAGTAATGTTTGGTGTTTTGTGTGTCATGCCCAAGTCGAATGTTTTCAAAACCAAGTTACTTTCATTTTCTGTACATGCAATTTTTCCAACATCTGCCATTTACGTATTTGAGAGATCAGTTTGTGGATTATGCGCAAATCGAGCTTTACCTCAACTATAGTTTAATATAGTGTAATGTAAATTTAATTGTAAAGTTTATAAGGGAGGTGCCTCGCATGGGCTTTTCTGAACCGTTCGCAATTTTTCTTTTGGGCAATATCTATATATTTATTGTTATTGTTATTCCCAATTCGACTATTTCAGAAAATGGGAATATTTTCTATTATTAATTCTGTCCAACAATATAACTAAACGTTTTTCTTTAACAATAGATTCATTAAAAGTTTGGTGAGTTTTCCACCTCTTTCAGTGTCTACAACGTAATATTTTCAAAAGATTGTATAACGTGAGCTCCTAGATGAGCTATGAGCTCTTGGGCAAACGCTCATTTCAAATATATATGTTTATAAAAAAAATCAAAGAGAACGAAAGGACGCCATGAGGAAATAGCTTTCACTCAACTTTCAGGTTGAATTTCTCTTTGATTTCTAGTTTGTTTTAAAAGTTGTTTTATTATAGTGGTATTAAAACACTTCGGAGTATGAAAACACATTATGTGCTTCAAAATTCTATAGTAAACTCCCTCCTGTACATACGGTCACAATGCCAGAAAACATATTCTGTGCAAAAACCTACCATGTTTTTCTGTAAAACTTGGCCTCAATTTCGGATCCAAGAATGTATGGCACATCGGAAATCTAAAATACAAATTTAATTAATTACCTATGTTTACGTAAAAACTTACGACATACGCCCATTATACCATGATGGAGCCGTTGGCTGACTTACCCCATAGTAATGATTAAATACGGAGCAAGATTTGCCCCAAATGTCAAGGATATTAACCACATTAATATCAACACACAACACGGAGGATAGAGCAGGAAAAGAAAATATTCCACGTTCTATATAGGAAATGAAGAACACTGTTTAATAGAGGCACAACGAAAACTGTTGAATTCAAGCCCTTTCATTGGTCGAGAGCCATGATCTATTAGAGGACAGACGCACGGAATTACGTCACAATTAAGGTAGCCAATTGCGTTACCTTATTTGTAGCTATAGATCATGCACGCGTGATATTTGTAAAATTTCGACTTTTTCAAATTGCCAAATGTTTGGGTGGATAAAAAGTAAGCTATTTACCTGTAAGCTATAAAAAGTAAGCTATTCGGGGTTTTTCTTTTTATTATATGAAAATTGTGCCGTTGTCTGTTCAGTTATAGACACACAGAATGACATCATAATGTGGGAAAAACAAAAAAGTGACCCAGTCGCCTCAGCGGCTCGTGAGCCACTTTCTTGTTCTTCTTACATTGTGACGTCATGAACAGACAACGGCAAAATCTTATCTTTTTGTTAATCTGAAAGTGGCGCGTTGTCCAAGAAATATTAATATAGAAGAAGTATAAAGGAAAAGCTGAAAACTCACGGCACAGAAGTCAATTTCATCTCTGCGAAATACTTCAAACTGAAGCAAACCCAAACCACCTGAAAAGCAAGAAAGGGTTTAGATAGAGCAGTACCAGCCCAGGCCTTAAAATTTCGATTTTGATGACTTTGAGTTTCCGAACCCCACGATACATTACTCTGATTCTCCATTTAACATACCAGCCTTTAGTCCTAGACTAGGGTACATTTTGATATACGTTGGACAAAGTTACAGTTAGGTCGGACACCAATTCACTCAGGTCGGATAAACCTCAGTTTCACTTAGGTCGGACAGAATGTCCAGTGGTTTCCTCTCTACCTCGGACAATTTCACGAATGGGTCGGACAATATCCGCGACCGACCGATATTTTAAGGCCTGCCAGCCGATAATTTGAATGTTTAACTGATGATTTTGGAATAGAATCCAAATAACACAACTCATTTTCGTCTTGTCTAAATCTTCAGTTTTCATGATGCTAATCTTCGGATTGTGTTTTGTTTTATACTTTTAGACAAAAGTCGTGAACAAAACCTAGCATTTTAAACATCTATCGTGATTACTGACCTGTGAGCACGATGAATACATTGTAGACCAGAAGAAATATTATATTGAAGAACGATTGCCTGAAAATAACAACTTTGTGTCAATTTATCTAAAATATTTAGCAAACTTCAAAAGACAGTGATGTTGTCCGAATGTAGGAATACAAACCAGAGAAGTGGTCCAATGGAATATAGAATGGCGAACTGCATGATCGCAACACAAATGACAAAACCAATAACTGAACTAGAAAATAAAAGGTGATTTATTAGAAAAGATCTGAAAAATTTGCAATTAACTTCTTCATTAATGCTACATTTCCTCCCTTCTTCCTCTTCTCTTTCATCTTTCTTACCTCGCCCTTCATCCCTCCCTCTACCTCTCTCCTTTCTAAGAAGGTCGCTTCTTCCCTCCCTTTTCCTCCTCACTCGATCCCTTCCTCTCTCCTACTCCGTTCCTCTCCTTTTCTTCTTCTCCCCCCCTCCTTCCCAACTATCATTCCTCCCTTCCCCGTCTATCCCTTCCTCACTCCTCTCCCTCCCATCTCTCTCCTCACGTCTCTCCCCTCTCTCCTTTTCTTCCATCCTATTTCCACCCTCTTCTCATTTCCTCTCTCCCTTCCTCTTTCTTTCCTCATATTTCATAGCTTCCTTTCCTCTCTCCCTTCCTCACTCTTCTCCCCTCCCCCTCTCCCTTACCTTCCTTCCTCTCTCTTCATTTCCCTCTCCTCCTTCCTTCCCCTCTCCTCCCTTCCTTCCCCTCTCCCACCTTCCTTCCCCTCTCCCCTCTTCCTTCCCCCTTCCTCCCTTCCTTCTTCTCTCCTTCCTTCCTCCCTCCCTCCACCCTGTATCTTTACTCCTTCTTCGCTCCCTTTCTTCCATTATTCCACTTCAAAAAGTTCCAAATTTGATCCACCTACCTTTTAGTATCTTGAAACGAGACATGAAAGATATAAACAGACAGTAAACAGATAGTACCAATACCAAATAACCTAAAGAGACAAAACAAATATCTCAACGAGACGTGCAGAGAAGAACCATATCGCTAAAAACTCCACAATCCCTGGATATCAGCACAAAGAATAAAGTTAAAAAGCAACTTTACCTTTCTCCACCAAAGTAAAGAAGTGGCATTGAGCATAACATAGCCAGTACAAAGAAATGCCCATTGTACAAAAAAGGAACATCGCTTGACTCTACTGTATCCTGTGAGTCAGTCTGGACAGAATAACGAAAACAACACTAAGTATAGGTAATCATGCAACATCGCATGATTACTTGTTTATTGTTAGCATGGCAAAATTGGATACTTCTCATGTCAACATCATATTCTCTCGCCAAAGCCCAGTCCTGCCAGACTTTCAACCAAAATTTGGTGCTTTTGTTCGTATTTTCATTTAGTTCTTTTGTTAAAGCAAAATTTGGTGCTTTTGTTCGTATATTCATCTTGTTCCTCTAGGGAAATTTCAGCTCACGTTTGTGTTTAAAATACCTTTCCGCTATTTTGTTTGTTTGGGGAAAATCATTAATTGTACTGCAGTACAATTAATGAAATAATTGTACTCCTCTCAACCAATCAGCATTCAGTAATTTTGTCATGCTAATAATAAAGCAATTAAAGCCTGGTTTACACTATCAAAGTTTCTGTGATCACAGTAGGAATTTTGCATAGGTAAATTCTACGTTTTGAAGGATTTGTAAGAAACATTTGAGCAAACTGATTTAGTGTTAAACACTGAGTGAGTCCCCTCAAACATTTCGTACAAATCCTTCAAAACTTACAATTTACCCATGCGAAATTCCTACTGTGATCACACAAACTTTGATGGTGTAAACCAGACGTAAGATAAATATATTGTAGAACGTCTCGTGTAATGATGTTTGTGATGTTACTCTGAGTTTATATCCACACCGGGCGAGCTTGAAAAATATGCCCGACCACGGTGGGAATCGAACCTACGACCTTTGGAATACTAGCCCAATGCTCTGCCAACTGAGCTACGCGGTCTGGTCGGTTCGAGTATGTGATATTTCGGAACAGAATCTAGTTCCTTCTACACCAGTGTAATCTTGTAATATGATTTTTTTTCTGTGTTGGTGTTGTGTACTCAGGTGAATATGATATATAATAATCATATTCACCTGAGTACACAACACCAACACAGAAAAAAAAGTCTCGTGTAATGTTTATTGTAATGTGTTTCGAACCCTGTGTATTGAAATGTTTACAGTGGAGGTTTCACTAATGGAGACACTTGAAAAAGTCAATTTCCTCCAATCTTCGAACAACAGATCTATTAAAATGTCTGAGCAACACTCAGTAATATACATATATGGACGTTATGTGGTTGAATAGCGTTGCCATTGCCCATTGAATAATCTCACACATTTCTGAATCTCACGCATTGCATAGACATGGCATCAAAATCACACCATCAAATACTTGCAGGCAAGTCAACTATAAATTATCGTTATTTCAAATATACCTTCACTTCCCTTAAATTTGATTGCTTTTCCGCCATATTGAATACTTGTTCCCAAGCTCTTGAATTACCAATTCAGAGTACTGCAATAAATTAAAAAATAATTAACATAAATACAGACAAGATTTCACTGAGCGCTATCGTGCAGCAGATGTTGGTCAACCTGCAGTTATCAGAGTGAGAAAATAATGTTTATTCTTTTCAGTATATGTCTTGATCCAGTTTGGAAGCAAATAAATAGAATCAAGAGATGTAGTTTATTTTTCTTGGCATAGAACTATATAGAACCATAGAAGCATAGAAAAACAGAATTGTAGAACCACAGAACTGTAGAACCATAGAGCTATAGAACTATATATAGAACCATAGAACTATAGAACCATATAGAACTGTATAACCAAAGAACTGAAAACCATAGAACCATAGAAGCAGAGAACTATTGAACTATAGAACCATAGAGCTACAGAACTATAAATAGAACCATAGAGCCATAGAACCATAGGGGCATATCAATTTTAGAACCATGCATTGACATAAAACCATTGAGCTAGCTATAGAACTATATATAGAACCATAGAACCATAGAACTGCAGAACCATCGAACCGTAGAACCATAAAATCATAGTCAGATCTACAGTAAAACCATAGTCAGATCTACAGTAATTAGTATTGCCTAACCATACTTATAGACAGTAATATAATTATGCTAATATTTCGTGACTGCGTGCCATGGAATTACAACCACATTTCTGAAGTTAACAACCATCTGCTCTCATGTGACGTTTACTGCAACCCACCTATCCATGTGCCCAGAATCAGGGGTTACGCCGCTCTCCCTGCAATGCCAGGAATCACCCCCCCCCCCCCCCAACGCAATTTATTTTTAAAAACCCACACCACCAGTTCCGTTCTCACGGATATCGTATACGATGTGTTCACAATCCGAACTATGAAACTATGTACGCATATTGAAGCCATTTGTTTTCAAACTCATTAACATATGGTGCGCAGCAAAGACGCGCTATATTTAGAACGCGCAAACAGCCGGAAATTGCGCATAAGCTGCGGTAAGCCAGCGGGTTCGACCAAGAGCAAACTTGTTAATTGTATTTGCTAAATCCTTTGTAATACTTGAAAAAGTCTTAAAACAACAAACGAAACAAATGCCTTTATAGTAAAAACACAGAATTTACAGACAGTGTCCTGCAGCTAAATTTTTAAACTTTTTAGTCTTAGCGCAATTTCATTGAATCTGAGAATAGGAATCCAATTAGCTGTAACTTACATCATTTAAAACTTTACTTTAAGCTCGTGTGAAATATGGTTATAATTCACACATCGTTAAGAAAGATACGCGATTTAAAATTATTGTGTTTGTTGAGGCGCAATTTATATAGAAGTTATATCATTAATGAAACATTTTACATGTATACCTTGGGAATTATGCCCACATCTTATTGGGAACAAAAACTTTGCTGTCCTATAGGCTATACGCCGAGTGTTGTATTAAACTAATTATGATCTTTATTTTATATACTGGATAGCACTATCTATCCTAAAGTTTCTTCCTAGAGAGGTCCAGTAAGAATCATCTCTTACTGATCCAGTATTACTACAAGAGGAAACCTAAACTAAACTAACTTTGTTTATACTGGATAGCTCTATCAGTTCTAAGCTGTTCTCACTAGAGGTCCAGTAAGGATCATCTCTTATTGATCCAGTGTTACTACAAGAGGAAACCTAAACTAAACTAACTTTATTTATACTGGATAGCTCTATCAGTTCTAAACTGTTCTCACTAGAGGTCCAGTATGGATCATCTCTTATTGATCCAGTGTTACTACAGGAAACCTAAACTAAACTAACTTTATTTATACTGGATAGCTCTATCAGTTCTAAACTGTTCTTCGTAGAGGTCCAGTAAGGATCATCTCTTATTGATCCAGTGAGTGTTACTACAGAAGGATCGAAACCTAAACTAAACTAACTTTATTTATACTGGATAGTTCTATCGAAATGAATGAAATATTTTCTATAAAAAAGTTGCGCAAAAATAACCCATGGTTAAATCTTGTAAAGGTTAAATTCTTGAGAGCAATTTATGGTTTTATATGCGATTAGGAAACAGAGAATCAGCGTTTAGTACATAATCTGTTTGTTTGTTTTAGACTGTGTTTGTATTAGACGCACGAGGGGGTCGTGATATTGGCATTTTTAAATACGCCACTGTGGTTGGCTGATTGCTCTCATATATAGGTGACCCATAGCCATGTTGACAGAATTGTAAAAATAAAACTTGAAAGATATTAATAGCTTTGGTAAGGCTACATGAATATTTTCGTAAACATATTACTGTGCATGCCTAACGGTCATGAAATTCAGCCATATACACTATCAAAGTTTCTGTGATCACAGTTGGAAATTTGCATGCATGGGTAAATTTTAAATTTTGATGGATTTGTAAGAAATGTTTGGAGGAACTGACTTAGTGTTTAACACTGAGACTGAGTCAGTTCCCTCAAGGATTTCTTACCAATCCTCCAAAGAATTTACCTATGCAAAATTCCTACTGTGATCACAGAAACGTTGATAGTGTAAACCAGGCATTATCAGTAATACTGACACATTTTGTAGTGAGTTAAGCTGGAGTTACACGCGAGCAACAAAATTGCTGCAACTTGCAACAAAATCCGATTTCAACGCATGTTAATTGAAAATGTGCACACATAAATTACAAATCACGAGGCAACATGTGTCGACATTTCTGCTTAACATGCGTTGAAATCAGATTTTGTTGTAAGTTGCAAAAATTTTGTTGCTCGTGTAACTCCAGCTTTAAGTCTAAATTTATAAACATGCTGTTGAGAAGTTTGCTTTGAATATTAGGTTAACCTAAGGTTAAGCTAACCAGGGACGCCGGAACTGGGGGGCAGGAGGGGCAGCCGCCCCCGTTGCCCTTTACCAGGAGGGGCAAGGGGGGCAAAGGTGCCCTTTCAGTTTAAAGGATTGCCTTGGCGGAATAGCGAATTGTCAGAAATGTTAGTGCAATTTCTTTACGAATTTGCTTCAGAAAACGCAAGAAATGCAGTCATCGAGCTTCAAGAATAGCACAATCGCCTGGCGGAGAACTCCTCACACCCCTATCATCCAATAAATAGAAAACATGATTAGGCGAAGTTCAATTCCCGATGTTTTGCAAACATCTCTTAGTATATATCAATTCAAAAGTGCCCTTTCACGAAAATCTGCCCCCCCCCCTTGCCTTCGCATCGTTCCGGCGTCCCTGAAGCTAACCCAGCTTTCAACAACTGCATGGCCCTCGGGTTCAATCCTTGGTCGGAACTCTACTCTACTTAAAACTGATAATTGAGGAGGAAGAGCAGCTTTACATTGATAAGTAAATGGCTAGACTTTCGCGTGTTCTCGGATGAGGACGTTAAAATCGTAGTTACCTCGGATCCACTATCAATTGTGCAATAGCCTATTGGGAAAGGGCTTAGACCGCCTTAGTCTTAGTGTAGTACCAGCCCAGTCCAGTAAAATCTCGGTCAGAGAACCGTCTGACAAAATGTTCGATGACTTTGAGTTCGATGACTTCGGATCGGAAATATGTATTATAATATCCGTTCAGTTTGGTTTGGAAATAAGTATGAATTGATCGTGCTTTGAGTGTTTTATAAATATTTTCCAGCATTTATAGCTTTGATGTAATACACGCTTCTACAACTCACACATAAATTACTGTACTATTTATAATATATTTTCATTGAAAATCGCTTGGTTGTCATGGTTCGTACGAGGACGTCTCAAGATGTATATTGTACACGCAGTACAAGAAATGACCATAAAAGGAAGTACACTTTGAACTGTTACAATGAGAGATTTTCATATCTAATATAATGACATACAAGCCGGCAAACTTCAAACATGTTATTGAAGAAAAGGTTGAATAAGGATGTGAACGCGCATGACCACAAAATGTTTTTAACCTTGACCCTGCACATATAGAACAAAGAATTTTTAGAAATTTAAAATGTTAGAAATTAATGAATTTAACATTTAACTTGCTTCCAAATACTACAAAAATACGACACAACCTTCTTAGTCTACTGTATATATCCCGAATATATCTTCTTAATCTACTGTATGTACCCTGTCAAGTCGGTTGGGGTGTTTTATGCGAATTCACTTACTGTTGCAGTATCGCTACTTCACGGCGGAATTTCAGGGTTGTTTAAAAGAAAGACAAGCGCCATTAAAGGTTTTAGTAATGTACGTTTTACGTTTTAGCTCGAATACAAAAGTGTAAGTAATTATATATGATAGAATGACCCTATGACCACTGAGTTAAAACTTCTACTAAATTTTCCAAACTACGAAACTCAACAGTCATAAAATGTCTGTTCTATTTATATCTCTGTCATCCAAGTTCCAAGCTACTGTGATGCATTTCACTGAAAAAAAAGATGCAACCTTCCTTACAATCGTAACAAACAAATAAAAATTACGATTAAGTCAACTTTTCTTATAGTATAAATAGCGCAAATACGGCAAATTTATACATGTGATATGATCAAATGTCATGCGTTAATTAGCCCCTACGCATCAAGTATCACTGGGAAAAAAGTGAAATCCATACTACGAAATTTGCAATTGCACCACTAAATCCATAGTATGTCCATACTATTTCCATACTATGG